CACACACACACACATACACACACACACACATACACACATACACATACACACTTTCCATTGTCTTTTTTTTCTTCCTCTTTTCAATTCGTCCATTGCGCTTCGACCAAATGGAGTGAATAACGAAATGACGAATATATGAATGTGTCAAAAATTGAAATTGAACAATTTTGAGAATTTGAGATATTTGCTCATTTCTCAAATGAGCAAATCCTTTCATTCTTTCTTCCACACCTCATTGCAGTCATTTCAATGCATTCTTTCCAATTAAAATTACTCATTGTTTTTTTTTTCGAATTTTTTGCTGTTTCATCTGATTGTATGCATGAAGCATATACATGGTATAATATTTCTATACAATACAATCATAAATGATATATAAGCGTTTGAAATGCTACTGAAACAATCAGCATTATCAGATGTTATTATCAGTTCATCGATTAATTGATTGGAAATAATTATGTTCTATTCAAGTAACTTTTAAAATATTACGTAAACATTGGCTATATTTTTAAAATAATGTTATAAAATTTGAATTGATTTATTATTTCTTTTTGGTAATTTCGAAATTTTTTACTTTACCTATTCTTTTATAAAATTTTTTTGGGGAGGAGGGGAATGGAAAGAATTCCAACTTGCAACATATTTACTACTTTTATGTTTTAATTCTTGTAGTGATATGCTTTTTTTTTACTGAATTTTGTAAATTTCTGATTTTTGTGAAATTTCAAAATTATAACATTTTTCGCACCAATAAAAGCTTTTGTTTCAAACTTTGTAGAAATTTTTTTTTCAAAATTTATTATTGAATTGTTTTTATCCTTCAATTTTTCATACGATTTATAACGTATTTTCGTGATTTTTTGATTTTATGAATTTCAATATTTTTTTTGTAAAGCAAATTTCAGATCTTTTCGAATTTCATCATGTATTTAGAGCTTACTAATGCTAAACAAGTTTTTTTGCAATGAAATTGACAAAAAGTTGACATTTCACACTCTTTTGACATTATCCAGTTGTAGCATAATGTCCGAAGATGTTATCATTAGGCATTGGAACACACAGGCTCTTTTAAGCCTAAATAAAGCCTATCAAAAACGATTATTAAATTAATCTTTTTTAAATGGCTAACTTTTTGCATCACAGTTTTCTCTATTTTCCTAAACAATTTTCACTGCCGCATTTTTGAGATATTTCAGTGGATATTAATGAAATTTTAACTTAAGTTTTATTATCATTAACTAAAATAAAATTAATCATGTATAGACGGTAGGTAAATTGGAAATCAGGTAAGCATTATTTCTTTTTTCACTTTCATAATTGAAGAATAATTTAATAAACAGTAAATATATTAATATCAATTATCAATCAATTAACTATCAGATTAGATCATGCTCACATTAATGTAAATAATGTAGATTACTTGCTCATTAACGTAAATTATCCATTATTATATCGTCACATGTATGCCAAATCATTTGTCAACATACCATCAAATTCATACCGAATCATGCATTATCATATCATTACATCCATATAGAATCAATTCATCACCGTACTGTCACACAGTATCACTAATTATCATATCATTGATGTAATATTGCATAATGTAATATTGATGTAATATTGAAAATATGAATACATTATGTGAATTTTTTTCTGCTGATATAAAAAGATTTATTAAAAGGAAAAAAGCATTTAAATTGCGAAAAAAAAGCTTTTTTGATTTACTATCAAAATAAATCGAAAAAAAAAAACTGTTTTTAATTTACTATCAAAATTTGTTGTCATTAGTTTAAGATTGAATCGGCACACAAACAAATTTTTGATTCACTGAAGAGACCGTATAATTTGGTCGACATGCATTTCGTGGATATAAGCATGGTTGAAGATTGCAAAGTTCCATCTCACTTATACTCCTTAACAATTAATTAATCATAACATTTTTTTGGAAAAATTTTTAATTCCAATAAAAATATGAATTGTACAAGAAATCACATTATTACTTAATGAGTCGAATAATTTCATTTCAATTATTTTGATGCTATTCAATTAGTTGCATCATGATCGTATAAAATAGGCTAATGAAAAGCAAAATAAAAAATATAAAATATGTGCAGAAGAGTAAAATATAAATAATCAAAAATATCTCAAAATTTTAAATTACTGCTTGTTGCTGCTTGTAATTACATGCCAAACAGGGCACAATTTCTCGAGAATGATTAATGATGTCAAAACTGCGCAATCATTTAAGTAATTTGATTGGATTAGCCGATTAAATTATAAATATAAAAAAGAATTAAGCATCCATAAACTTATCTAAATATAATGAAGATAATTAATCAATTTGCAAATAAATCAAACATATAATGTAAGTTTATGATTACTTAATATATTAACATATGATTGATAAAGATTACAATTTGACCACAGCGATATATCCAATAACTTATTTCAGATAATTTAGAATTTTTGTATAATAATAATAACTGTTAGCAATAACTGCTAAATTGTTCGTTTATTTTTTTTACATAAAAAATTTTATAGAATAAAATGTCAGTTGTTTATTGGAGAATTTTTATCATTTCAAAAAAAGATAAACAAAAAATACCCAGGACAAAAGCAATCCTCATTAGTTCGCTCACAACCACGAAAACGTTGACGAGTTCCGTAAGCACCGCACGTGTCCGTACAGGTTGACCAGGCTCCCCATGTCGCCCATTGCGCTTGACATCTGAGCGGTGTTGTTAATGTTGGCATCTGTAAATGAAAAAAAAAATCTGAAGGTTATTTAGATTTTCAATTTAATGAGTTCAAAATTTTTAATCAATTTTTTTTTGCATACTCTTTGCTTCTATCCATTTTCATTTCATTCCAATTATTTCTACATGTCATTTACACGTTGCACAAATAACGTAATTTGCTTTGTTGTTGTGTTATATATGTTTTCTTTAATGAAATCGTAATGTTTTGAAATATATTTTAATGAACAAGAGAAAAAATTTTTTTTTAAACCATGAAATAGAATATTTGTACAGCAAACGTTATAGGCTTATGCGTGAATGCTAAATATTGTAAACTACAAATTCAATGTTAATTGAAAATGAAAACATGCAACAAGCTCTTGAGCTACTCTTAAGCATCAATTTCAATTTTTTTCTTGAAAATTTAAAATTTATACTTAAACTGAGTTCAAGATTACGGAATATGTCTAGGAAAAAAAATGTCTTTTAAATTTGTAGTATAAATTTTTTAAATTCTCAAGAAGAAAAAATAGCCTTAAATCAGTTTTGCAACTATGAACAAATCCTCATTGAATTACTTTTTAAATATTAACTTACAAGTGGCTGTGAATGAGTTCTCAATTGTGGCGAAACTGTTGATGGTGTCGACAATAGAGCTAAAATAATTTAACTAATTAACCATTTATCTAATTAACCTAGAAACTAATGAAAAGCTAAAATTACTAGTGCAGCAACACTATTATCATAAACAATTTGAAAATCATTCTGAAATAATTAGCATAACCTTATTTAAATTCACAGAATACAAATATCATCAAGTTACTTTTGACCTTTGATTTGATTATATCCAATTAAAAATCATTTATTTACCTATTAAAAGACAAGAAACGCTTGCAACATCAATTCTTGATTCAAATGCTCGCCATCGTGAATTACTTCCACATATCAATTCCAATTCTGCTTTGCCAGTGATATCCGATATAAATGGTAAATTCATTTCTTCATTGAAAAATATCCTTGCAGTGGTCCAATTCTATTTATCAAAATGTTCAAATTTTCTTTCAAAACAAAAATAATTATTTGCAAAAAAGTTCAACAAATATACAAATGTTATTTTTTTTAAAAAAATTAACACGAAAAAAGGATTAAGTTAATTGCAAAAAAAAGAAAGCATTTAAAAAGAAAGTAAACAAAAAAAGAAAAAGAAAGCATTCAAAATATTCAAACCTTAACGGTACCACAAATAATATTTGCTTTACGACAACCATCAGCTTGTCTCGAATATTCAATTACCAACGGACCATTAATTTCATTTGATCTTAATCCTATTAATTGCCTACCCTTAAGATTTTCGCATCTCGTACAGGGTAATGGTACTGAAATTTTTTGATTATTAATAAATTACTAGTGAAAACGAAATTTACAAATTTTATTTGCATATGTTAAGAAACAAAAAAAAAAAAGCGTATATTCTCTAAGATAATATGATAATCATATGCAATTTTTTTTTTTTCATTTAGCTTAAATTAAAAATAATTTCAAATTTTCTTTTTACCTGCTGGTGTTGTTGGTGGAGAAGGTGGCATAGTCATCGTTAAAGGTATTATTGGAATAATTGTCGTGGTTATTGGTGAAGGTACTGCTCGAGCAGTTGTTGTAGTCATTATTGATGGTGTAGTTGGAATAGCTGTTATACGTGGTATAGTTATTGTTAAAGGTACTATTGGAATAGTTGTTATACGTGGTATAGTCATTGTTGAAGGTACTGTTGGAATAGTTGTTATACGTGGTATAGTTATTGTTGAAGGTACTGTTGGAATAATATCTAATACTTGTGAAATTTGTATTAAATTACAAGAATAATTCACTTCTGTATTTGCTTCAAAATTAATAAATTATTGTAAACAGTTATATTCAACAAAAATATTTATATGCACTAAAAGATGTACATTATCAATATATTGTAAATGATAATAAGAGTAAAAGAACCTCGTGAAAGACAAGTAACACTTTCAACGTTGGTACGTGAACCTGTAGCTCTAAAGCGTAGATTATCACCACAGACCAAAAAAATTATTGAATGACCAGTTCTACTTGAAACATATGGTAAATTTTTCATCCCATTGAAATAGATTGTAGTTTCTGCATTGTCCTATTAAATTATTCATCGAATAATACATATATATCAAAATGTATGCTATTATATTTTAAATTATTTAAATTAATTATAAATTAGAAAATAATCATAAATTATTATAAAGAATTTTAACAAAAAAGTTTTATAAGATAAAATTATTATTGATCCCTTTCATTTATCATTTTCCTCTTTTTTGCAACCAAAAGTACACTATTGAAATTACATTCTTGAGATTTATGGAATAAGTTCAAAGCTTATTTTTTTCATATGTATTTCAGTTTTACTTGAATGCATATGAATTCCAAATTTGGGATATTATTGATAGCTCAAATCATTCTATAAGCAGAGTTAAAACATGTTATAGTTTAAAATTTGAAAATTTCATGCAACGTGATGTAATTTACTTACATCACTACTGTTACAATGAATGAAAGCAATTCGGCAGCCAAATTCGTTATACGTATATTCAATGGTAAGCTTTCCATTAGCTTCATTTAATGCAGGATTCCTTACTCTTTCAGCTCTGATATTTGTGCACGTACTGCATGGTACTATAAATTTCATAAAAATTAAATTTTGATTAATTAAAATGTGATGCAATCATGCGGGAAATCATATGATTTGAATATTGCACAAGGCATTGCATTCTAAATGATTTCAATTTTGTTTTATATTTGATATTATTTGATTAAAACTAATAATATTATTATAGATTTGAGATGAAGAATACTCGGTGTTGTAGTTGGTGGTAACGATGTCGTTGGTATTGGTTGATCTGCAAACAGTTATGAAATTATAATATTCTTAAACTTTTTTTTCAAATAATTAAAAAATGCTTTTAGCATTGATTTGATCTGACATTAAAAATGATAATGATAATGCTTCTCATGTTTCACAATGATTTATGAATTAGTATATGAAATTGTTTCAAATGGAAATTACGAATGATTTCTTTGTTTTGTTTCAAAGAATAAAATTGAATAATGTATAATTTTTCATCCATTAATTTGCTCTCAAATTGCTTATTGCTGCAAAATTTATTACGAAATAACCGTTAATTACCTTTGAAATCTTAAAATACCATTGGAAAAAAATTCTATTGATAAATTACCCTTTTATTATGAATAATTTAAACATGTCTAGTTCAAGTAATTTAATTAATATAAAAAAGTGAGTAAATAATTTAAAATTTGCTGCGAAACCAAATGAACCTCTAAATATGCATGTTACATTCCAAATATTCATCCCTGAGTTTGGTGCTCTCCAACAGATATTATTATCACAAGTTAAGGTAACTTGAACTGATCCCGTTGGTGACATTGCCAATGGACTATTTTTGATTCCATTTGCATAAATTATTGCAATTTGTCTTGTCTAAATAATATCACTGGCAAAATTCTCCATAATAACTTTGGCTCTATTTGCTGCTCATCTCAAAATATCAAATATCAAGATTATCTAAATTTAAATTTCAGCAGTTAAAATAGTTGAAATAGAAGCAAAAATATTCGACAGATTTGTGGATGAATTTATATGATCTGCGTGAACTATAAGAAAAAGCTCACAAATACAAATCACATTTAGCCTTTTTCGATCAACGACAGGCAATCGATAATCTTTGATCCAAATGGTAATGATTGATCTTTTTAGCTTCTTTAAAAATTTTACCATTACTAATTTTTATATTATTGAATTTCCCCGTATTTTAATATCACATTAGGATGTGAAAATATAAAATATTAATTTTAAAATTAAATGATTTCACTTGTTAATTATTGCAAGAGTCTTATTTTATCATGGTTTACAATAATTAATTGGTATAAAATTAGATGAAATTTCGAAATAATTTAGACAGAAGACATACCAAGAAAGTTCCATCACAAATGAGATTAGCAGTACGACAACCAGACGGATTTGCTCCATAAATGACTAGCAAATGACCATTTCGTTCTCCACTAGCTAATGAGTCAGCTCTAATTGCCGGTATATTATTGCACGCTCTGCATAGTTCTACTAAAATTTTGCATTAGAAATTACAACAAGAAAAAAAAAACAAGAAGCTTTTATCAAATTTCCGATGCTATCAAGTAAACAAAATTGGGAAACATTAAAATAAGACCATAATTTCACGATAACATGCAATATTTTCCATTTAAAATTTTAAATTTGCAAAAAAAGTATAACAATAATTTGGTTTTCAATTGTTGTTGTTGTTGTTGTTGTTGTTGTTTTTTTGCAAAAAAGCAAATAAAAATTCAAAATGTAAAAAAAAATCAAAATTTTGGCAATTCATTGTAAAAATTTTGACTGAACTTAATTCATGTTAGTAATTCATGTTAATTCATATTAGTTAGTCCCTTTACATGGTAATTTTGATAGAAAATTTACAAATTGTCATATGTCACACTTATCATTGCCATGCATTAAGAATTCATTTTAAAAAAAAGTTGCAAAAATTCATGCAGTATTTTAATCAAATCACTGTTACAAGCAAAATATTGAAAATAAAAAAAAAAAGGAAATAATTTGGAAGCTCAGTTTGCCAACATATTACCAACATTGTCGTTTTGATCGTGTTTTATTGTCTTGAAGGATGAATCGTTTTTCATTCAAATTCTTTGATAGTACGTACTGATGTCGAGATTGTGAGTCTGAATAAATAGTGAAAAAAAAATGGCATCTTATCATTTTGTGAATCGTTTTTTCTTTCTTTTTTTCTATTCCGATTTGCTTCTGATAAATTTAATAAAATTGATTAATTATTCTTTAGCTTAATGATGGATCATTAATTAATTAGCAACGATTCTTTTCCAACCAAATACATGCCATGTTTACATTTCATAGGTTAATATCTATAATTTCAATTAATTAATTAATTGCAGTAAATTTTTGAAGGCTAAAACTTACATTGAATTATTGAATAAATAATTGACTGAATGTTTTTTTTCTTGAATTTTTTTCTTAAATTTTTATGAAGGATTCTGATTAGAATAGCTATTGATATCTTTCTGATGATCAAAATTTAGTTATTTTTGTTTTCTCAATTCTCCTAATATTTACATATGTTAAATGTTTAATCATTTTTGAGTAACCGTCTGATGATGAAATTACTGTCACAATTTCACGGAAGAAATAGGATAGCGAAGAGAATAGGAGCACAATCAATGCACAATCTTGCATGCTGCACTCCCATTGCATGCATGCATTTTACTAACTCGTTGTGATTTTCATTGTTACTGATGGTACTGTAGAATCGGTTACCATATCATTTGTAGGAACAGAAGTCGCGACAGTAATCGCCGTAATTTTGGTAGTAGGTATAGTAGGCGTGGCAACTGGAATGGTAGATATAGTCGGAGGTCGAGCAGCTGCAGTGGGAGGCACAGGAGCTGCAGGAATAGGCATAATAGCTGCAGTGCTGGGTGTAGCAGATGGAGGAGTGGATTTAACAGCTGCAGTGGTAGGCATAGAAGCCGTGGGAGTGGGCATAATAGCTACAGTGGTAAGTACATCAGCTGGAGTAGGATATTTAGCAGCTGCAGTGGTAAGTACAGCAGCTGGTGAAGGGTATTTAGCAGCTGCAGTGGTAAGAGCTGCGGGAGTGGGCATAATAGCTGCAGTGGTAAGTACAGCAGCTGAAGGAGTGTATTTAGCAGCTGTGGTAAGTACAGCAGCTGGAGGAGGGTATTTAGTAGCTTCTGTGGTAAATACAGCAGCTGGAATAGGGTATTTAGCAGCTGCAGTGGTAGGCATAGGAGTTGCGGGAGTGGGTATAATAGCTGCAGTGGTAAGTACAGCAGCTGAAGGAGTGTATTTAGCAGCTGCAGTGGTAGGCATAGGAGCCTCGGGAGTGGGCATGATAGCTGTAGTGCTAGATATAGCAATTGCGGGAATTGCCGTAGTAGGTGCAGTGATAGGTACAGAAGTTGCGGCAATAAGTGTAGTAGCTGCAGCGGCAGATGCTACAGTAGTAAGTACAGCGGCTGCAGTACTTGTAGGCAATGCAGTAACGGTCATAGTAGAGGTCATGACAATCTTAGTACCAGGAGGTGCGGTAATTGTTGCTATAACAGCTGTAGTTTTATCGATGGTACTTTCTGTCACTTTGACCATTGTTGTCAATTCTGATGATAGAGAAGTTCTGACATATTTATCAGAGACTCATAACTTTTCTTAAGTACATATAAATAGTAAAAAAAAACATACCAAATTCCACTGTATCCTGAAAATGAATTTATATTAAAATTTCAATTATTAACAAAAAATACTTGAATCCCGTAAATACTTGAATCAGGAACCAAAAGCATATTAACATTGGAGTCAAGGTATTCCCAGGTTATTTATTTTCATTTTAGTTTTTTTTTTCGTGTTCTTCCTTCAATACTCCAAGCATTTTCAAATTATCATAATATATCAATCTATAGAGAAATAAAGCTTTAAATAATTTTATCATTCTCCAGTAATTATTCATTACATATCAATTTTTGATCACAAATCATATTGCTTAACAAAATTTGAAAAGTCAACTTACATTAGGGCAATGAAACGAGGAATTTTCGGCAGTTCCACAAAGCCTTACTTCTGCATTAGAAGCCCTAAAAGCATATTGTCATTTCCAGTTTACTGATGATAATACTTATTGATTACATTATCATGAACTGATTATTGGATCAAGAATTCATTATTTTATTTCCATTGATACTCTTCTTCTCCTCAGCTATCCTTTCATAAAGTATTCACAAATTGTAAATTAATTAAATGAACAAACATGAAGATAAAATTCACTTGCAAAAATATCTCGTCTTCGTAGTACAATTTGGTGGATTTTTTCGGCAAAACCTAAAGTTATTGCCATTTCAAACCATTTATGATCTTTTAAAAAAATACCATGAAAATTCTCATTCCCATTTTGATTCAAATTTAGATAAATTTACCGTAGTAAAATTTAAAACGGATGATATTTCCAGTTGACAGGATTCGGAAAAATGGGTGTTTTTTTTTTCCATTTTTTCTCAGCATAACTTATTTCATTTTTTTTTTAAACAAATTTCAACAATGCTTGATCTATCTTAATCGTTTGGTAAATTTCATTCCAATGCACATTATTTGCTCACCTTCTCCGTAACTGAAAATATGATCCGTAATGATCATTTGATATCGTACTTGTACTTTGCCATGATGACCAAACTCCTACCTTACTACAGTTAATTACATCTTCACTATAAATCGAAATGTAGAAGCTCGTAATCAGGATCACTAACCAAGCATACATTTCTACTGAAATTACATATCATTAAAATAAGTAAAACTTTTAGCGAAAATTTTACGGAACTAAATTATTTTGAAGCCTCCAAAATAGAACTTTATGGAAAAAAAAAGATTTTGACAGAAATTTCAATGAGATTAAATCAATTTGAAAGCTTCAATATTGGTGCTTTTTTTTAAAAAAAAAAAGAAAGAGACATTATAAATCTCATTTTATCAAGACAATGCCAAATGATAACCGTAAAAAATTAATGTAGACATAACTAATTTGTTAACAATTCACATTCACTAAATTTTTTTTTTCAAAACTTTGTTTAAAATTAAAATTTATCCAACGCATCATTTAACAATAATAGCTGTCGAATTTTTTTATCGCATCAGGCGAATGTCCAAATGATATTTCTGATAAATACCTTTGATATCGTGAATGTGAACACAAAATATGTATAGCACCAGAATTTCAAAAGAAATAAAAACAGCTTTTCCTTTTTCTTACGCTACGAAATCTATAAAAATGTCTGCTTTTCAAATTGAAAAAGGTTGGATAAACGTATTTAACTAAGTTATATCATTTTTAAGTAGATATTAAGCGAATGCTTTAGCAGCATTAAAGAACTTTTATTAAATTTAAATTTAAGATCGAAATTTTTTGTTTTTTTTTTTTGAAAAGTGTAATTTATAGCACAATACGATTATTTTTTCCCTTTCCTTTGATAATTAAATTTAGATTTTTACTAATTTATTTTTCATTGGTCGTTCAGCGTTTGTAAAATATTTTTCATATTGATCTGAATTATGAGTATCATCATAATTAATAACTTTAAAAAAGGGGTCAATAAGCATTAGTTGACGGAAATTATATTCAATCAAAGATAATTCAACATATCATTGGTCATTTTCAGAACATTTGACTGAATCCGACTACGTCATTTATTTAAAACAATAAAAAGTGTGAACGTCTTTAATCGCTTATTTTATACATTTTTTTTTGAAATATTTGACCCAGTAACCAGTAAAAAAAATTCTATTTGTAAAATTTTGATGCTAATTTTATCAATTATTGCGGTCTTTTCCATATAACTGAGAAGATTACATTAGCAATTATCATAGTAAATTGAAATGATCAATTGCAAGGATTAATTGAATGTTGAAAATTACGAATTTCATCAAACAAATATAAAAAATTTTAGTTCATTGATTTAAAAAAAAGAGTGAAAATTGCATAAAATTAAGAAAGTAATGCATGAAATTGCCATTAAAATTTTATTCAAATGAGATTTTCGAAAAATCAGGAAAATATTATTTCATTTGATAGAAAAGGACTAGTTTATTGTAGTTGACAACAGCAGTGACAATGACAACAATATAAGCCAATATTCAAGAATTGTAATAAATTTATTCGCATATAGATTAATTGCTTCCAGCAAGTTTCTAACTAGTCGAATTTAAAGTTGAATTCTTCATAGAAAATTTCCATCATTCACTAACTGATATTTAATGTGATATAGAAGTAATGTGATAGGATGGTGAAATTGAAATTTGATTGATGCATCTTTATGTTAAATGAAGTGAAAATAGTTATTATATGAAAATTGATTTCTATAGAGATAATTATGACAAGAAATAATTAAATTCTGCTGCACTTTTGTTTGCAACCTTGTTTATTTTGTTGATTTATTTTTTGATTTTAAATATTTGATATAAGCAAATTTTTTTTTTATCATATATATATGTAATTTACTTCTAATAATGTCTTAAATTATATATCAAATATTAAAAATTACATTTTTTTCTTGCTTTTTTTCTAGCATTCTTTAAGCATTATCAATGAAATCATTGCATATCGATTTTAATCAAACCAAATAATTTGCATGAATTTTTATTCGCATACATAAAATACATAATTCAACTTTTAATTTCACAGTGTTCTTTTTCTTCTTTCACATATCAAATTTACTTTTACACACTGTTATACTTGTCTTTAATGACATTTGCATGTAGCCAAATCTTCATCGATCATATAATTTCGCACCATAAACGTAAATTCATCATAGTCAAGAACACCATCACCATCAACGTCCGCTTCCGCGAATATTTCATCAACTACCGCCTTATCACGAATATCACCCAACTCACTGAGAATATATTGGAAATCTTTCTTTGATACTACACCACCTTCACCCTATAATAATTCGGAATGTAAGTGGTAATTGAATACAATATTTATGTACATTCGTTTCTGCATCAGTACTTCTCAATTACTGATAAATTTTAAAACGTTACCTCGCTAAAATAAACCAATTACTTCAGGAAATAACTGATATACCAATGATAAGAAGATAAATGAGGCATAAAAAATGACGCTAAGCATCACTTTAATTTATTTAATGCCGAAAAATTAAAATAATTTTACAATATAAAGCTATTAAAATTATTTTTTCTATTTATCCTTTAGAAATCATTTGTCCTAAATATCCTCATCTCGAATAATTTGATATGATTTCTTTATTTTCCTAAATTAATGATTCTAAAAAAAAATACACTACAAATAATTAATATTAAATGATCAAATGATTTTTCTTTTCTTACTTTTCTTATGGTCAGCTTCATTTAATCATATAACTAAATTATTTAGTTCACTACAAATGGTATTCATCGAGTACCATCAAATAGAAGAAAATATGCTTATCAAATTTATTGAAACAAATGTAATGTTGCCAACCACATCCTATGAAATCTCTTCTAAATCATTACTCTCAAATTATTCTCTGAGATGAATAAATAAAGAAGAACAATCAAATAATCAATTCGAATACTGATAGTCTCTGATAATTGTTTTCAAAGGTTAAGGAAGAATAAAACTTCCTTTTAAATCAAACGTTCATTACGTTTGTTTGTAAAGTAAGGCTTTTACAATTTCAATTTATTACCACTATTTTTAATCACTTTTATTACTTACTCTGTCAAAAACAGCGAAGCATTCTCGTGTCACATCATTCCAGCTATTCTGCTTCTCACTCATTCGTGTCATTACATCACAAAATTCATGAAAATCAATTTCATGATTGCCCATCTATAAATATTTAAGACTTATGCTTCATTTAAACAATCTAAAATTTATTTTAATCGATTTCCCAGAAAAAAATTTTTTGATTCTTTCATTGAAAAAAAAAAGAATGAAAGAAGCATAGATGATAGCTTAATTGAAATAATTAAATCGTACCTGATCAACTTCCTCAATTATTTGCTCAAGCTCATTCTTCTGTGGTTCTAAACCCAAATTTCGCATTGCACTTTCCAGCTCCTCAATACCAATTGCACCACTACCATCTGAAATTAACATTGAAAATGTTTCACTCCCCAATGATAATACATTTTCGCCTAATACTTTCATTTATGAAATCTTCCAAAAACTATCCAATAATTCAAAAAAAAAAAATTACGAAATATCTTCAAATTTTGCGTATCTTTCAAAATATTCTTAATTTTATAGCTATAAATAGGTAAATGGGTAACCGGTATCAAACACATTGAATACTTGACGATACTCTTCTAACTCTTCTTCTGAATATCTGGCAAGTTTTGCTTTCAATAACGGAGCATTTAGACCGAAATTTTGACGTTGGTTAAAATCATGATGAAATTTTTGCTGCAATTTAATTATAGAAGTTTTGCATTTTTTTTAAAGTCTTATTTAAACTTATCGAAAGTTAAGAAAGAAAAAACTAAATCAATAGGCTACTTTTAAATGTTTCTTCATTCAGGTGCTACAACATTTCCACTCATTACTCACAAATATTTTTTTGTTAATTATTCCTATCACAGTATCTGATAATTGATTTATCAAAATTTAAAAAGCATAGTAAATGAAAATACCAATAACATTTCATTCTATATAACTCTTTCATTCAGTCATTTTATTCGAAAATTTTTTGCTATTTAGCAATCTAAATTTTTAATAAGTAATTTTTAGTGAATTATTTATATCGTTGCACTATATCAAGTGATCAGCATATCAGAAGAATGTTAGATTATTTAAATTTGAAATAACTTTTGAAATACCTTAATAGCTCCAGCAATTAATGATGCCCGACTGCTCGGTGGATTTGATAAAAAAGCTTTCTGTCGTCCCGATAATCTCTTGTTGTTATTGCACGGTGTTACATTCATCATAACTTTATTACTTTTCTCCCCTTTTTTTGCTGTTAAATATAATTCTCAAATTTTTATATAGTGATGATTCAATTAATAATCTAACACGCAATAATTCAACTGAATAATTTCACATAATGGCAAAAAATTCACTTTTTTTTATTCACTTTAAGTTTAAAAAGTGATTTTACATAATGATTCATCAAATTATTAGGTGTTCGATTATTAGCTGAATCATTACTACGAATAATTCGTATTGATAATAATTTCATTTAATAATTTAATAGTTAAATTCACGCAACATTTATTCATATTTAATCTAAAAAAAGAAAAAGCATTGGAAATTGAAAATTGACATAGAAGTGAAGAAGAATGTAGAAAAAAAAAAAGCAAATTAGATTGCAGAGATTATTTTATGTAAGCAAATCGAAAAAGTTAGAATTAACAAAGAGAGCGGGAAAGAACGAGAGAAAGAAGAAAGAGAAAGAAGCCTGAATTATCGATAGCCTAGTGAGGAAAGTAAAAAGTTTTACAATCTAAGAAATCTTTTCACAAATTTGAAATTGTTTTTAAATGAGACAGCAATAATAATTACAGTGATAATATTAATATATATTGCAACTACCGAACAATATTTTTCATTACTATGGAGATTCTCGGGTATATGATAAAGAATTGACATTTAGCCCATTTCTTGGCAAAAAAAAACATGGATATGTCAATATTTGCCAGCATTTTGATGGTTAACAAGCAATAGTAATCATAGCTTTCTTTCTCTCTCTCTCTCTCTCTCTCTCTTTCTCTCTCT